ACGACGACGACTACTAGTACTCCTACTACTACTCCTACTACTGCTACTACGACGACGACGACGACTACTACTACTGCTACTACTACGACGACGACGACGAGGAGGACGACTACTAGTACCGCCACTACGACTGCCACTGCGACTACGACCGTACGACTACGACGACCACGACTACGACGACGACTACAACCACTGCACCACAACTTCGAGGACGCCGTTTACACCTGTTCTATTCCTGTTCCTAGTCCTGCTTCTACGCCTTCACTGCTACAGCTGTTGCTGCGGCTGCTGTTGCTAGTACTTTCACCGCTATCTTCATCACCACAACAACCAGCGACAACAGCAGCTTGAACAGCAGCATCAGCATCACTGGCATCAGTCAGCCCAACCCATAGACGTTCTGCCGAAGTCTGTAGAAACAGCATGCTCAGACCCTTGTTCTTACTGTACCCTACGAAACCGACCACCTTGTGAATGCGTTTGTTTCTTGTTCACGTGTGCGCAGGCTTCGCGTTTGGCGAATGCTGGTACAAGCTCTACGAATCTGTAACCGAAGGCTTCGAAAACGAAGCCCCTTACTTGGCCGCCCCTGGGCTGAGAAGTTGGTAAGACGGCCTGTCAGGCATGTACTCTTGCATTCTGTCGTGTGAAAATGCCTCTCAATCAAGGACTTAGATATTTGTCGTTCACACAACACCTAAGTTGAAGGGACTCTGACCTTCTGCTTCGGTTCAACAGGATTTAGGAGAGTTCATGTCGGCTGCGGAGACAGCAGACAATTGGAGTCATATGTATGTCGGATGCTCCGAGTTCCCACTGCCCCCCCTCCCCCACCGACACCGTTTCGTAGCATGTAGAATTTTGGCAGTGATAGGTTCTGAACCCTAAACCTCCTTGGTGTTCAAGCTCGAAATTTCGGTCTTTGACGTGCTGGTTGCTTTCGGGTTGCAAGTTTCAAACCTCGACCTAAGCCATGCTAGGTGTCCACTTGAGACCCTTGCGACCAAATACTGACAAATGCCAAATCCTCAGCCGCCGAAAGTGACCTATGACGGGATACTTCACCGTAACCAACAGGGATGTGGAGCGGAATCCGGGTGCCCCAAAAAAGCCATCACACTGTAAACGCATAGACAATTGTATTACTGTCATAGAGAGCGAGGGCGACTGAAGGAAAGATGGTCGGACCTACCAAAACCACATGTCAAGATTCTCTCCCCTGGTGAGCAAGCATGCAACAAGAATGCCGACTCCTTTGTGTGTTTGTGGCTCTTTCCTGTTTTTGGTGAGACCGTCTCGAGTAAAGCTTTCTGAGGACCGTGGAACTGTGTCTTTCTTTCTCATTCGAGATTCTAACGAATGTCTTCTCTTCTGACTGTCCAAATGCTGAATGGCATGCGATGGCAACCCCTTTAGCAAAACAATTTCGTTTATGGTTCTGTTTACACAATTATTATCTCAACAGCATCGGCAATCTGATGGCTAGTTGCACCCTTATTCTGAAGCACAGGCTCAGGACTGTGAATGAAATTCCTTTTCACGACGATACTCTATCTACGCTTCGCCTTCTTTTGCTACATTATCTTCTGCTGCCATGCACAAGAGCAAAAATACTGATGACAAAGTATGCTCAAACAGGCTTATCGACAAACGTATGTGTTCGTATCAGGTTTGCAGGGAGATAGATGAAGGACGGAAGGTTGGCAGACATTGATGATGAGCGGATATAAGTAAAACACTTGACTGTAATAAGACGAGTGCGAGAGAGAGAGAGAGAGANNAGAGAGAGAGAGGGAGAGAGGGGGGCAGAGCGCTAGTGGCGAACAGAGTGGGATGAATAGGGTAGGGAGGGAGAGCCAGAGAGAAACATGTTACAGATGTCTCTGAGGACTGGAAGCGCCTGTTGATGATTTTTGTGACTTAGTGTGACAAGGAAGACGAGAGAATGTTCGTAGGTTTCGTTTTGAGCTTGCGGTTGTTCAATGTCGGAGCGGAACTGTGAAAGAGAGCAGTCATTGGCCTCCCCTCCAGCAGACTCTGGTACTGGAGACCTGACCGAATGATGCCCTTAATGCAGCGAACAACGGTGAGAAGGCTGTCTGCCCACCCCTACAGGTGAATGCTCGGTGACACGACATTAATACCTTTGAAAGCACAGCAAAACCAACCACAGTTCTCACAGTGTCAAGTTGAGGAGATAGAAGACATGGATGGGAGCGTCATACATACTATGCCAGAACAGAAACGAGGTTAACATCTTCCAAGTCAGGTCTTGTCTTGGAACGCCAAAGCAGCAACTATTACACATCTTTCGAAAGTCACTTTCAGACGTTCGCTTGAAAGACTGGAAGGTCATGTTCACAACCTCTCTATCCTGTGCCATCGTTTGGGAACAGTCGGGCGCTTGCAGCTCTAGAGCTTGGGCTCTGCTGAAGGGATCAACGGAGGCTGTGGGACCAACACGCAGGGGATATCATTGGAAAATCTGGAGTAGTTCAGACGTTAAAGCCTCATGCAAAGCAGAACCCGGCTTAACCCCGGATGGCACCCCAACCCTTGATATTACACATCCTGCAGAACCTTCAGCGAAAAACAGGTATGGCTCCACGGTGGCGATTGGGGGAACATCTCCAAGCGAGACCTGCAGACCATGCAGTGGCGAATGGGCAGAAGGACAGCATCTTGGGGTTCAAGCAATTGGCCTGATTTTGCCACTGCTTTGAATCCCCCAAAAAATAGTCTCACAGATAGCAAGCAGCCGGAGTCAAGGGGATCAAGACCATGTATCTACAATGGCTTCGAGTGCTTCAGTGGTAGGGCGAGCGACGCAGCCCTACATTCACACGGGGACCTGGACTCCGGGGCCTTCAAGTCCTCATTCCCAAGCCCTAAAACGACAATCCTGGGTGTAAGGTTGAGGTCAGGTTTTCGTCGGATAAGTAGTGTCTCGGATCTCCTGGAGCTTAGCCTTTAAACTCTTTGGAGTACGGTTCTATAACCTGTAGAGTGCTTGAGTGGAGCACCCTAAGGCGCGAAACATAATCTCTAAACCCTAAACTGCGAAAGCTTGACATGTTCTTGCGAAGCCTGGATGGGTTAATTCTGCATGTCTCAGCGTTTTCAAACAGGAAATGACGCCCCGAACCCTCTCCAACCTGTTGAAATCGAAACTAGAAATCTTGAAGCATGCCCGAAACCATGAACCTGGAGGACAATCTGGATGGTCCCGAAGAGTCCCAAGAGTGCTCGATCACCAAAGGGATGGGAGTTTCAATGGGGCTGCTGCCACAAGAAGGCCCGGACATCAGCAAAAGCAGTGTTCGGTGTATCTGTCTGCAGTTTGGGGTTACAGAGTCTTTGCTGTGTTAGACTGTGAGGCTGTAGGAGCAGCAACCTTGTGCGAAGCGACGGACACCTCGGCCCACGATAAGGTAGTTAGCATTTCAAGCCCTGAGCCACTGCAGCCTAGACCGAAACCGCAAGCCGGGGTCGTTGCGGATGCCGATGCACTTCTGACTCCCGCCTTTCCGAACATGTGCCCGGTCTTGTCTTTGTTGAAGCCTTCCCCCGTTCAAGGGCCAAGTGTTCACAGGCAACCAGACAATACAATGCCTGCAAAGCAGTATAGAATCAGGACTAAGAAAGAGTGTGTATTCCAAACCGTTTAGTTCTGCTGCGTTAGGGTGCTGAACCGGCGTAGCAGTGCAGACTGCATTCCAGGCCTTATGCTTGCTCAAAGCTCGAGGTTGGCGATCTACGAAGCTCCACCATGCATATCCACCAATATGGGCACGAATTCAAGCAGGGTCCCTTTCTGTTTTCGCGAAGACGCTATGTCGCTCTTCTACTACAGACTCTACAGACTCAGGACCTCCAAAAAACACATCCCCCCACATGCCACCTGCTGCACGAGGAGGACAATCGGAATGACCAGGGCTTCGCGACTTGGTGGCAGTTATGCCCACGACAAAAAAGGACTCAGATCCTTGTTGGCACTCCGATATAACTGCCACATGTACTCGGAGCTTCATCCCGAAACCAGAGCTTCACACCCTACAACCAAAAGTCGCTTCTTGCCGAGATCTGGGGTCACCTCCACTCCAGCTTTCTCACTGCCTTCGCCGAGACCATCGGCAACGTGGCACATCGCTTCCAGGCCGATCCTTATAGCAAAGTTATGCCAGGGTAGAACTCAAACAGTGAAGAGCACTTAGCAATCCGAGCCCTGCATACCCAAGGACCATTCCAGTTTGCCAATAGGTCAAAACCGCGCACTACTGTGGAGAAGGAACGATTGGCAGTCGACCACATGCAGGTTACTGTGGCAGGAACACGGTTTGCACACCAAATATGCGTGGGACTGTGGCGGGGAAACGTGTCTTGGTGACGGAAACACAAGTTGCTGCCCTTTGGGTTTATGGCTACAGACATTCATGTGTGGCATTGCCCGGCGGATCCGCGCGGCAACAGCATAGCCTGCGTAACCTACTCGTGTCGGATGACCCAAGGACCGAAGGTCCGCTGCATGTGATGCCGCCAAAACCCGAAGCTTTGTTTTACCACTACAACGTATCATTTGCGAGGTGTACATCAACCGCCAAGTCAAGGCTAAGAACATGCGTCCTTATGACGCTACAACCAGGAACTCTGGGGCCGGTTGAAAAGACCAGAAGCTTTTTGGGCAGGCGGACCGGGTGCTTGCCTTTGGCTACTCCATGGGTGGCTTCGGGGCATACCAGGCGCCTGCATGCTTTCAGTTTCCTTTCTTGTGGCAAAACATACGAAGCAATATTAGACATCTTGAATGTTCAACAACAGCAAAATGTTGATTTACCAGGACATAAACAGGAAAGTAGGATTAAACACAAGATGAACATGAGAAGATAGGAGAGCCATTGAGAAAGTTAGAAACCATAAACATCTCGGCAAGAACTATGAAAAGCATAGAATATAGTCTAGGGGAAAGTGAAACACAGTGTTTTGTTCTATTTTCTCGTGACATTCAGGAGTATAAGGGCGGCATGGTAGAGATTGGAGAAGATAGGAGAACCAAAAAGAAAGTACAGATGGTGACTAACATCGGGGACCTGGAGAAATGTCGGAGAGCATTAGTAAGCTTCGGAACAGGATAGAAGCCTAAAACAAAAACATGGTTTATGAACATCATTAGAAACCCCAGGAAGCACACGACAGGACAGGAGCACCACAAAGAAGCTAGGAAAGTACAGCAGAACACAGGAAAGCCACTGATTTCAGCTTTGTCTTCGATTCGGCAAATTTTTGTGAAGCATCTCGCAGAATGAAGCGCCCACTAAGCATCCCCGAGAACCTGCATGTTTGGGTTGAAAGTTGAGGGCCAATGCCAGGCCAAGGGCTTCCACTCTTATCGCTGCCCGCTGCTGTGACCTGAAGGCATCCCCAGATGCCCCGAAAAGAGGCCAGAATCCCAACTTCCCAACTCTGCCAGTAGCCAGTGCCAGGTAGCCAGCTGGTCTCCGGAGGCCCAGCGCGCTTCAGGGATTCTCTCTGGTAGCTTGGGGTCGGTATGAACTCAGGCTGTTTCTGGCTTTCTGGGGTTCGCAGTGGCATAGGCCTACTGAGTCGTCTCTTTTTTTCGACAGCCTTGGAAGGGGCCGATGTGCTGACTTGGTTTAGGCATCTGGGGTCGTTCCGCGTTTTTTCTGAATTAAAATTTTAAAAGCCACATGCCAGCTAAATGCTTCTTTTTTTGCACTTGTAGGGTTTGAGGTCTTTGCAATATTTGCAAGCGCTTGTCTCGAAAACGGGAACTATCAAGATAATTACGCGCCCTAAGCCCTCAACCCTAAGTTTGCAGAACTCCGATAGACCCCTTGCAGAAACCGGCCTTTCATTTGCGTCTCTGCGCAGGTCTTCGATGCAGTCGTGTCTCTGGCAGGTTACGGCCTGGGTACGGAGGACCCTCAACACGAGCGTTTCCGTGCCCCACAGCCCCAAAGCGGGCAAATTTTCCGTGATTTCGTGGAGCGCTATGGTACCCGCATGGCCAAAGTTCCTGTGGTACTGGCTGTGCACGCATGGTGTGACAGCCTCTCCAGCTACAACGATGACTGTGAGATCATCTGGGCCGTCAAGCATCAAGCTCGCCGTGAGGCGGGGGCAAGGGCAACTCAACGACCCTTCAGCAGACTGACCATTGTCAGCAGATGAAGGACTTCCAACAAACCCCCCAGAAGCCTAAACGATTAGAGGGCTTCCCGGGCTTTGGGCTTTGTAGGATGCTTCTGAGTTTTTTTGGGAGCCTAGTTCAATAGGCTGCTAAAGGATCGTAGAGTGTCAATAAGCAGAAAGCGGCCTTGAGGATGAAGGTCACTACCGTTCTAGCTAGCCTTTTGCTACCACCGTATGCTCTCCTCTTGTTGACTTCCGGGCTGTGATTGAGATGGAAGCCCCCTAACCACAAATGAAGCCTGTCACAGTGCTATTCTCAAGCTTGACACTACGCTTTCTTAAGTGGGTCTAGGTTTTGCATAGCTTCGATTTTTTCGAAGCTTTCGAAGCTTCAGCTATTCACTCTTTGGCTTCACTGATGTTTAGCTTCGATCAGAGTATGTGTCTTGCTGATTTTGCTGGGGTTTGAGACCTAAGGCGTTGAGCTTTGCGATGAGCAGATGCCCTTCTCAGGTTCGGGAGTTACTCTCATACCCACAGCACCAAACTCTTCACCGGGAGACCTACGCCCTAAACCCCTAACCCCACACCCTAAACCGAGCGCTTTTCTCGAAGCAGGGCCTCACCCAGCACGTTGCCGACATGATCACCGTCCCAGAATGCCTCGCCAACACTGACCTCCCGTATTCCTCAAGCGGCCACGACTACTACTACGCCAGCTTATTGAGACTCGGAGTGTCAGACTTCATGGTTTGAGGCTTCGAGTGGAGGGTCGCGTGTAGGTTCGAGGATTCAGGTTCCAGAGCAAGTCCCATAACAAGTTCCGTGGATTCGAAAGAACGCTCGCCCTCAAACCCTACATGTCGCATCCTTGACACTAGACCTTGCACTGTTTGCAACGCTACGAATTCCTCCAGCATGGGCTCCCAAACCCCAAAGATGAACCGCTGCAGCCTAGACCCCGGACACCTAAACTCAAAGGGTTTAGGGTGTAGCTGTTTGCCAATGGGATCCGAACTATCAGTACTGTTGTTTCTCAGGACTCCCTAATGTACTTATAGTTTTGAAACCACCGAATCCCTTTCATAAGTTTTCTCTTGTCAGTCCAGACTCCCCGATCTCAAAATCCAAAACTCTAAAGCCCAGGAGAAACACGTCCGAACGACTGCTGTGGTCCAAGCTCCGGACGGCTCTGTGGTCCGCTCCAAGGCGACAGCTTCTTGGGTTTTATTGATGTATTTTTCATCGGTACTCGGACGTTTCGACTTTAGCATTTTGTTTACCATAACCATAACGACGTCTACGACTGCCACTACCTTTTCACAGTCAGCTTCGAACTCCTGGCCCCTAACACGTCAGCACTTAAGGCTAGTTGACAACGAAGAAAGGCTTGGCTCCTGAACCCTAGCCCTAACGCTCTGCCGCAAAAATTATTCACTCTCCGTAGACCTGTTACCCAAATCCTCTAGTCCAGCTCAAGACTCCGAGTCTTCTGTCCTCTTTCGTCTCGAAGCTTCAAGCCACCTCCGTCGTTCTGAGACGCATAGGACAGCAGCATAGGAATTGTGTGAAAGCTCAACCTCCAAACCGAAGTGTGCGTTGCACATCCGTGGAAAAGACTTTTATTGCTTCAAGACGAATGCCCTGCACGCCTCATGTGGCAACCTGGACTCAGCTGAGGAATTGGGGGCGTGGGGCGAAGCGCCAGTGGCCAAGTTCGCGGACGCCAGTTTCTGGTTCAGCGAACACGGTATCATGTGGGTTTACGCAGAGCACCGGACTTTGCAGGTTTGTGCTGGAAAAGCTCGGAAATGTTACAGGCCAGGCTCGACAGTTATCACTTTGATCTGTTGCGTTTGCGTGATCAGCACGTCAGATGAAAGGGGGTTGTCAAGGTAGCTGCATAAAGACATGGCTTGTTTTATTTGTTCACCTTGGTTGGTTCTTAGGTCTGTTTCGCATAGCTGTTGCACTCACCTTACAGGTTTGGCATAGCTTATGGTTTGGCATGCAGGACGTTGGCTCATTGCAAAGCTATGAACCGAAAGCATGACATAGCCTCATGGCGGATTCCAGATCCCAGGACATCGTGGGGCCAACAGAAATGGGCGCGTCGGCGTTGGTTCTGAGAGTTTGGCCATCCGCTTTTCCAGACTCTGAGCCCCCCTGTGTCACTGCCAGCGTGGCCACATGGCCATGCAAACAGGAAGCCGAAACAAAGGACAGCTGTCAAAACGGTGGCTATCTAGGAACCCCACACAACCTGCGGAAAGCATGGTTCATCCTGCTACGTGCTGGGACGGGGAGAGCTCGAAAGCACAAATGTCGCAGTTGTCCACATGCCCGCATGTACAGGCAAGCATTAGCTGTTGCTGCGTGGTTTTGAAAATCTGCAGGCAGTGGCGAGCAAACCTAAATGCAGACGACATAGAGCCTCTTGACCCTTGGGGTCTTAAGCCTCGACACTCCAGCACTAAATGCCCACAGCTAGAATCTGAAGCCCCCAAGCCCAAAATCCTAAACTCTGACCCTGGAAACCTTGAACCCTTAACCCTGAACATCGTCGAGATCCGATGCAAAAAGCCGAAGCACAGGCCCTGCAACCCAAGCCTTCAGCACCATGCTCTGCTTGAAAGGGCCTTCTGAAGGGAGTCTGACGTGGAATGCCGTGATGCCATATCGGTAGCAGAAAAAGTTCTTGGATTCGCAGTCAGAGTGCGCAGCAAAGGCTTTGTTAAGGACAGCGGACGAGCTTCTGCGTCTGTGTACCAGCAGGGCTGGTATGTAATTCTTCGAAGGCTCCTGGCAACGAGCGATAGGAACCTTCATGCTGCAGAGCTTTTAGTTGCACAAAGCATAGGCTACTCCCGTCTGCAAGTCTGAAACATCCTCAAAGACTCACACACCTGCCCTTTCTTCCTCGGTTTCCTCGCTCTCCTGCACCACCTAAACATTGTTCGAGCCGCTTTGACGTCCCAGTGAAGTCCTGTAGCCCAAAGCCTGCGCCCGAAGTCGACTCTCATGAGGAAACTGAAGCCTGGCGACGTGCTGCTCGAAATTGCCGGCCGGCCATGCCTGAATTTCGTGTCCCCTGGGCCTTTCTTATGAGGTATCAGAATTTTGATTGACTGGTTCCTTTCAATGCTGCATGGTTTGAAACGGTGATGCCCCTTCATGTTGCACGCTTTCTAGGGCCTCTAGGGCCTCAGGCAAAGCATTGCTGTTCTTTTGTCAGTCAGCTCGGTTCTAAAATTTGTTCTCTAACTGTAGAAGAATGTTTTTCGATATCCGTAAATTCTCAACTCTAACTCTAACCCAATCTGACAGGGCCATCGCCGAAATCTCTGCACTTTAAACCCTAAACCTTGAGCCTTAGACTCTTGCAGCAGCTTCCTTTGAAAAGGACCTTGGAGGATCAACTCGACTCTGAAGTGGATAAGGACCGAACAGCGGGGTGTGTTCGGCTTATTGGCTGGGGCTTTGTCTTGGCATTGTGGCTTGCAGTTCAGGCATTCGCTGAAAAGTTGCCCTATTCACGTTCGTGTTGTTTATGCTATGTGCTATGTAACATGCTCCGTCTATGTATTGTTGGGCGTGCAGACTGATGATTCGAGATTCAGATGACTCTTTCAATGTCTGCTTGGAAGTGCAGGGTTATCTGTTCGATAGCCGTCGCATGAGGACAGAGATAGCTTTTAGGCTTGGTATGCAGCTTTGCAAGCGCTGGATTTTTGGTGCTGGGAAGGTCCGCTCCAGAGTCCACATTTGTCGGGAAGATGTGAGTCCGAAGAGCCTTAAAACCCCAAAGCAGGAAGACTAGTCCTTGCTGAGAGCCTGCCCGCATGATCATCCGGGAGTACTGGTAACGCAGGGCCAGTTGTTTGAGGTCATGGGATCATCAGAGCAACACGCGCGATCCTAAGGTTGCCATAAAGCCACATCGCGTACCCCGGAACCTAACCCAACGTCCCTAGTTGCAGGAAGTGCTGATCAAGATCTCTCGTGCTGGGGACGTGCTCAAGATCGGCCTCAGGGTTGTCGATTTTCACAAGCTGCCGCTCGACGAGCCGTCCATGATCTGGGACTTTCATCAATTGTGGGTCCCGAAACGGAGTCCTGATATTGCGGATGTTGCTGTTCAGCGTTTTTTTGGTGTTCCTGATTGGAGTGTCATGTATGTTTCCTTTCTTCACGACTTCTTCCATGGTCCCGATATGCAGTCCTCTCCTCGAAACCCCAAACCCTGAACCTTCGATGAATTTTGAAGCCTCAGTACGCCGAGAGAGAGAGGCCGCTTCAAGGGGCCCCGTGTAGAGTCGCATGGAGTCTACGGCGATCCTCATAGGGCCACAGGGCTGAAGCCTCGACGGCTCGTCTTCTTTGAGTATTTCTCCTTTTCGCATAGGGTGATCAGAACACCGTCGCATGAGCCAAGGATATCCCACGACTTCGTGGAATGCGGGGGTGGTGCCGTGGCATTTTCAAGAAGACACAGCATGACCCCGTTATCCCCCAACACTTACCCTCAGCCCGAGGCTTCATAGGGGCTAGGTTTGAGCATGGGTCGCCTTTTCCCCGCACAGGGCTGTGCTTTGCTGCTAGGAACTGGATGCAACCTTGAGGCTCCCGAAATCTCGGAGGCGACAGTCTGTAGGCTCACAAGGCTCACACTGTACAACATACACCCGATGATGCTCCTTCAGTTTATCGTGTACTTAGTTCTTTACGGTTTAGGGCTTTTTTTTGACGTGGGCATCTGCTGCAGATGCCAGAACACCGTAACTCTCAGAAAATCCGAGGAGCCTTCTGTCGGAACCATGCATGGCGCTGTTCCGTAAAGTAAAGCCACCAGACTCTAGTGACTGTAGTCAGCTGAGGCGTCTTCCACGTCTTGTCCTATCACACCTGCAAGACCTACAACATTCCAATCTCGGACCGCGGCATCTACGTGGCCCAGAGCGGCTTCAGCAGCCTAGCTGCATAGGAACTCGAGCGTCATCCGACTGTCGATCTCAGCAGTATTAGTCTGTCCGGCACACAAGCATTTGTCGTATTACTTCACACCTGAAGCCTTGCGGCCTTTCTGGCAGAAACTGTTTCCCCTTACCTATACCCGTAAGTCCTTTACCTTGAACTGCCAAGCCTGTAAGTCTTCAACACTGGGCCCTCGAATTCGTTCTCGTGCACCAATTTCTTCAACACCCCTTTTTGCTTCAGCCAGCTGCATCAAAGGGGGCATGCGTTTGTTTGCGAAAGAAGAAAAAGCATGCCGGAAGGCACGGACCCCCATCATGATGTGTCCTCTTTGGTTTTGCTTCCTGGTCCTATACCCCTTTTCAACAGCACCATGGCTGCTGGAGTATCCTCGACCTTGAGCTCTTCGGAGTGTCCATAAGGGCCACAGCTATGAAGCAGTTGCAACCCTCGTGAGCTCCAAATTCAGGCCATAAGCGCCTGACCCTAAACCTCGAACTCCGAACCCCACACGTCCAGAAACCCAAACGTGCACCCTAGCCTAAAGGCCTCAAACAATGAACCCAAGCCAAACAACCCCACGGCACTTCAGGGGATTTGGCCTCCAGATTCAATCCCCATGCTCTCCCACCTCAACACCGCTCAACACAGTTGAATTCCAGAGGGATCCTTAATTTGATTTAAGATATTCCGTAATTCACAGGTTTGGGAGCCTCTTGGAACCTGAAAAGGCTTCGGCCTCCAAATTCCGGTCTCGGCTGTGATCACCTCTGTGGCCGGGAAGCTCTTTGGTCGCAGCTTCGATTTTGGGAGTTCCGGTCACTGCATCGCTCGTGGGACGACAGTATAGGAAAGCCGTCTTGAAGTCTTACGTGCTCTTGTGGAGTCCCATACTGCCATGTAAACCCCACAGAAGTTGTGCTCGAAGCTTCGGCACCCTGGTTCAGCCCTGTCTAGCATAAGGCACCAACACATTAAAGCTTGAAGCTCAGAAGACGATCATACAGCATTCTGCATCCTTACAAAGCCTGATTTGGTTGTTGGAAAATTCCGGCTCTTTGCAAGGAGTTCTTGGGGTACGAAGCAAAAACCCTCCCACCGGTGCCTGAGGAGGGTGACCAGCCTCAAAGCTTTCGAGACCGCTTTGGCCGGCATCCCGAACAAGGACTCCCGAAAGCCGTTTCGATCACGATTTCGGCTTTGTGGGTTTAGGGGTACAGGTTTGGGGATTAGGCTGCGAGTTAGAGGTCCGAATCCCCCGACCTGGAACCCTCGACCCTCGACCGTTAAACTTGTCAAGCCCTGAACCCCTCACCTTCAGGAGATGTTTGAAGTTCGCTGGTTCAACCCGTCCGCCAATGAGCACCGGCAGAAATGCTCCATGATCCGCCGGATGCTTAGTGGACGGCTCCAGAGTATCCTGGGTCATAGGCATAGACTACATTGCGCTTTCGGTTTAGGGGTTAGCGATTTTTTGCCCGGGGTTCTCAACCTCCAAAGTCAAAGCTAGGCATGCCAAGGGGCTTGGCACTCCCGAAGCCTTGAACCCTGCGCCGCTGAACCCCAATCGATGCACCCTCACCGTCCTCACCACCCAGAAAAGCCGCCAGACGAAACCGCGAGGCATGGAGCGAACGCTTTGGCCAGCGAGGGTGTGGGACTTTTGCCCGAAGCGCCCCAACACCTGGCAGAGGAGGCCTTCTCGCTAAGGAATTATGGCGGTTAGGGTTTAGAGGGCTTTGGTGCTTCACGGTTTTGGGTACTAGGGTTTGAGGTGCTGCTGGTTTTAACTAGGTGGAACCCCAAATAGTTGGAAACCGAATTAAGGACGATTAGTGCTGGGATTCCCTAAACACGACTCTTGAGGATTGAGGCTATTGGGATTCCAACTATTTGGCTTCTACTATAGGGAGGGTAGGGGTAGGGGCGGGCGGAGGCATGAATACTAAAAAAAGCTTGAAATTCCGAAGCCAAGCCCGTAAGCCCTACAGCCCAAAAAGCAACAAAGCCCTAAAACACAAGCTAAGAAGCATCCGAAAACCCTGAGTCCTGAACACTTCATTGGCATTACTAGCAGGTCGTGGGACGGCGAGGTGGCAGACGACAAGAGGGGGCCACTCAGCGCGCTGTCAGCCCTCAGTTGAACCCAAGCCCCTTTTCCGCCCTTTTCCTCCCAAAACAAGGCCAGGCACCACGCCCAAGAGTCTCTGAACCCCAGCCGTCCAAAAAAGCCAACAAGCCCGGACTCCCGCCACCTTTCTAGCGCAAGTCAGGTAGAACACGCCATACTCCAGGCATGCTATGTTGCGAGATTCGAACTGCGGGTTTCTGAAGGTTCCTCAACAACACATCCAAAAGAAACCCTGATGTTGAATACTCTCATAGACCCATCAACATAGACGTGTACACCTTCCTGCCACCAAGGGCAGCTGCGGCCACCACGGAGCCCGTAGAGTGCCCTGGGAAACTGCATTCCGTGCTTCTGGTCTTGCTTTGATGCTTTATGTGAGGAAGCGGTTTTTGTGTTCAAGTCGCTTATGGAGGCTAGCCGTTTCCCTGTATAGGTACGACCGTGTTAAGGCTTTCTAGTCCTAATCTGCTTTCGACCGCTTGGTCGTGGCACGCGCCAAAAGGAATTTGGAGGCGATGAGCCCTCGATGGTAGCACAATCCGAAACCTGTTGGCAACTGCAGGCTAACTGACTTGCTCTCCGCTCCTCTTCTGAGAGATGAGGCAGACCAGCAACGCCCCCAACCGTTCCACCAGTACTGCAACAGTGCAGTAATTTCGATTAGGGAGGGTGCGTGTATGCAAACAGATCAATCAAATGTTTGTAGAACTATCAACGCTTAGCACTTGCAATCCCAATTTGCTGCCAAATAACTCACAACTTATATAACTTATATACTTCCACCCATCAAGTTGCTTGTGGTACCAAGAACTCATCATCATGTTTCTTCCTGCAATAGTTCCAGTAGCGGCAGCAATAATTTGTGCTAGTAAGTATGGCTAGCAATTCCCACCGTAGCCTGCTGCTGCTCTAGTCCCATTAGTTATTTCCTGAACCCTCCTTCGTCCCAAAACCGCAAGCCACAAACCGAAACCCCACACCCCGGAACCCCAAACCTTCAAATCTGGTAAACCTGAAGCCATAAATCATTACGAGCTTCAGGTGCAGCCCTGTCTCCGATGCCCGGAGCCGGGCTTCAGAAGCTCGGCTTCTTGAGCAGTGAGTCCGATGTGTAGGTTGCAGCATGCGTCTGCCTGAGACCCTTAGCCAACACGATCTAAATGCCAATAAACTTCAAGCTTGCGTACAAACGGCAGCACCGGCAGCAACTGTCTCAATGTGCTGGAGGCAGAACAGGACGCCGACGTGGGCCCAGCAGCCCTAAGTTGGGACCCCAGCGCTCCGCGTCGTCTGCGTGTTACGGCGTGAAGCTGGGTGTTAGGGCTGATGCTGTTGGGTGATCAGGAGTTTGAGGTGCGGGGTTTTGCTGGGATATGTATGTAGTGTTTTGTTTCCGGTGTTCCGGGTTTAGATGTAGGGCTTGGATTAACGTAGAGCAATGCTTCTAACACAAGCAGCAACTACAATGGACAGCCGTCGCCAGTGACCGGATAGTAACTGCGGAAACGTCCAAGGCGGTCAAGAGGACTCGTTTGGCTACCCTGAAAATTCTGACGCCGCCTGGCAGATGCTGGGTTTCGGCGAGCACAGGCTGTAGCACAATTACATTCGGATGTTGAAAGTTTAAACTAAGTTTTTGTCCAGGGTGTTTGGAGGTCAAAGTGTGCGGTTTAGCCTCCAGGGTTTCGTGCCATCAGAAAGTCTCTATAACAGTACATCTGGGTCGAGGAGCGCGTGCTTTTACGGGTTGAGGTCTCATGTGGAGGCCTGCAAAATCAGTATTTACATCCCCCATCTCGCTACAGGCTCGAAAGCCCATTCGCGAAACTTCAAGCCCACAGGCCCCATGCCCTTAACCCCAGACCCTGGATGGCAAGTCGAGATCTGAACTTCTACAGCTACATGTGAAAAGCGAACCACGACTTCACAAAGCTTGCCTTTCCATTTCCCCATTTCTCATCGCAAAAGGGTTCGTGCTCTCCTATCACTTCCGGATGGGTTAAGAAGACAAACAGCAGATGACGAAGCTGACGCCGGGAAACAGGCAGCATTGCATTGGACAGCCATGCTGGGACAAACACCCTTAAAATCAAGCCAATTAAGCCCTCACCCCTGTACCCCAAACGCGAAACCTGTGCCACGGCGGATTGGAGGTCGTCATGTTGGACGTCTCCCAAGATAAGACATGCGTCAGATGCAGTTCGTAAAGTGTTAGGACCAGGCGAAACCAAGGCCCCCGGAGTGAAGTCAGTGAGGCACCCCCAGAGTTTGAATCTAAACCCCTCAATCACATAATGAACCTGGGCCTTCACTGCAACTAACACCCAGTCTCATTGTAATTCCCAGGGCCTTGCTTTGTGGTCCCTGAGGCGCTGACCAGAGTTAAACCCAAACTCCTGGCCCCGAAAAGCCCAAGACTTCTGTGATGGCAGGAAATTCCACCGAGCAGACTGAGGGTGTAGAGTTTGGGATATAGGGACTGGTTCTAGAGTTAGGCAAAAGCCTTGACGACTGAATCCAAACTCTTGGATGTCTCAAGGCTGCCATCTCTATGGTGCAGCCGATGTTGTGCACCATCGTGGCTTGGGCGCTTTGTTTTCTGTGGGTCTGGAGGTTTGGTGTGTAAAATCCGGCGTCGGGACTAGCAAAACATCCCATTTCATTCCCAATATGGCCCTATTGAGTATACTATACTGCAACATACCCCAGAACCCTGCATGAATGCCACAGGTCGCTCAGGGATTGTTTTGCAGATTAGAAGCGGTTCGGTGGGACTACGTTTTTGACCGAGAGGCCGTCTTTGTGTATTCTGCATGCTGTGTTTGTTTTGACACGACGCTGCACCCACTCGAGAGCTAGGAGAAAGGGTGCAGGCATCGTAAGGAGATCCGAGATGGCTGTACGAGACTAGACTTAGAAGAATGCGCAGTAAAAGCGATAGGCAACTCATCAGAGCCCCGCGATCGAAAACTTCGACACCAAGCAGCCGCCAGAATAAATCAGCCCTACTTGCACATACTCCAAACCCGAAGTGTTCGTCGTAAGCAGCAAAGCACCATGCTATACACCAAAGCCCGAAACCTAAACAGTAGACCGAACCCCCAACCCAGACACGCCGCCCGCAAGGTGACACAAGTCTCACACGAGTACGCAACGGACTTCCTGCAGAGCAAAGAGGCCACACCTCTTGGAGGGATCGGAGTGCAGCTTGGGACGGGGAGGGTTGAGGGTTCCGAGTTCAGGCGTAGAAGCTTCAAGGCGAGAGGGCTAAGTTTAAGGTTTTGGTACATATTCTACGGAGCGCGGATGAATTCGCAAGTGGGTGGGGGGTGTCTGTGTGATTCCGACGGCATGAGGGTTATAATTACTTCAAAGAGTACGTGCAGCACATTTTCCAGAACGCCATAGCTAGGCTCCGTTGTCTTACCCTGTTCAATATCTGCAACTCTCCTGTACAATATTTCTCGACCTGATTCTTACCAGCCTTAAACCTGCAACCCCAAATCCCTGGGCCAGGAGAACAAGTCGACGGTCATCCGGCGCTGCGGTGTGGGGTTAGTGATTGACTCCACAGCTGGTTTGGTGCTGACGGACCGCTACACCGTGCCCGCTTATTCTTGTCGTTGGGAGCTGACCTTGGTAGCAGTAGCAGTAGTAGTACTAGTAGTAGTAGTAGTAGTAGTAGTAGTAGTAGTAGTATCAGTAGCATCAGTGGCATCAGTGTATTGTCAGTAGTTTTAGTACTCGTCTTCGTCGTGGTCCTCCAGGCCGGTGTTGGATCCGCAGCCGTGACTTCGACCTTTCTATTAGCCGTCCTGCCTTTTGGATTACAGCGCCAGCGCTGCTTAAGAATCTGGCAGGGCTAGTTCAGCAGGCTGAGATTCGTAGCTCTTCTCTTCCTGCATTTCCTTGCATTTTGGACATTCTGCAGGCTTCAGGGAGGCTCAGATTCTTAGCACAGTCTTAGCCAGGGATTCAGCCCAGGACCAAAGGGATTAAGAAGTCCGCAAAGTCACTATGCCAAAGCATTCTTCCACCTCTTTCTGTAACTCGCTGAAAGTCCTGAGCCATGGCCGATTCCGATAATCTTAATGCGAAGGTTTTTCTGAGGTCTCCAGCTTGGGAACGAGCCTTATTACGCGCCTATAAAAGCTAAGAATCTCAACCCCTCAGATTCTTAAATCGAAGGTTTTCTGAGGTTTCCAGCTTGGGAACGAGCCCCAAAAACAGCCTGTTAAAGCTAAGAATCTGGGGGCTCAGATTCTTGAATCGAAGGTTTTCTGAGGTCTCCGGCTTGGGAACGAGCCCTAGTAAGAGCCTATTAAAGAGCCCTTCTTAGTGTTCAGGGCTCCGCCTGGAGGTACCCCAGCCGCTCGTGGAGGTGGAGCTGACATTTGGCCAGACCGTGACTGTGAACGCCACATGCCTCTTCATGCACCCTCACCACAACATGGCCACTGGGACGCAGATGCCGTACTTGGCTTACGTACCGTCCGCCCCAACGTCTACGAGACAGCCCTACCCCATCAAACTCTTACTTTCAACTCAAACAAGCTTAGAACTCTAAAGCCGCAAAACCTAGACTTCTATAGCTGCAACGCTTGACACCTTGCCATTCATCACCAGATCCTTGTACTCCCGAACCCCGACGTCTCGATGCTCGAATCTACCGGTTGAGGGTTCTCTAGGGGTCAGAGGAAGCCACAACGGCCCCCCGAAGGTGCTGTTGCACTATGCCCCGACAGCAGTCAAAGGTGGGAGATTCTGCGGTCGTTTGCGAGTGCTGTTTGTTCACAGCAGTTTCTTGAAGGTTTGTTTGGCTTTATGGGATGTGGCTATAGGACTTACACTAGTTCGTGGGACAAGTTCATGCGGTTTAACTCCGGAGCTTCAATAGTTCGTAGTCGTGTCCTTGCATAATTGCATCACGATCGCATCAGAAGACAAAGGGGAAACCATGGTGCATTCCTTTCGGACCCTATATTGCTCTACATGGAGCAAGTTTCCGAATGAGCCCTATATCTTTGGCCAGATCTTCCCGTTCGCTCCATCGACCTCAGCGATGTGGCAGCGGGAGATGCGACCAAGACGGACGAGCTGAGCGCAGGCCCGGAAGATGCGCTTATTCCTTAGCAGCACAACATGTAGATCTTTGTCGAGCTGCAGGCCTGCCAACAACATATCTCTGTAAGTGTTAATTTGGTTCACCCCCTCCCTCTCTCTCTCTCTCTCTCTCTCTCTCTCTCTCTCTCTGTCTCTCACTCTCCCCCCCTCTCTGTGTTTCTCTTTTTTACTCTCTAGCCCTCCCTCTCTCTCATTGTTTGCTTGATTGTTTTTGTGTTTCTTCTCTCTGCGTCGCAACCCGAAGACTTTAACCAAAAACTAAATCTTACACCCTCAACCCGATGCACGAATCAGGTCAGATTCTGTCGTTTGTCTCCATCCATTCTGACCATCAGCTCTCAGCGAAGCAGGCCACCTTGACAAGCTGCATCTTGGAAGTTTCACGCGATAAAGCACAAGATGTGTACGTATGACCAATGAGCTGATCATTTCTGTTGTTTGGGGAGTGCTTTTCGGCTTGCGGCTAGGCCCAGGCCTTCCCATACTCCGTCCTGGTGTAGGGCTAAGCTTTAGCGATGACAGTCGAGGGTTGACGATCCGGGGTCCACGCCAGCCCAAACGCTTAAAGCCGTCAACCTGCACCTCAAAGCCTAGAACCTGCTTAACCCTCGGCTCCAGGACATGTGGCTGCCCTCTTCCTCAAACCCGGCTGTAGGGTTGCGGGTTCGCGGTGTGGGCTTTTCTGCTGAGATCCTGTCCAAGCCTTGGTTGCAAACACCCTGCAGCCTCAAAACAATCGCAAGCGCAACCCACTAACAGTCCCGGACCATAGACCTTAGACACGAAGCTCTTCACCTCAACAAGCGTTTGTGCAAGCCTCAGACCTGCTTCCCTGCCTGGATCCTGAGCCTTCTTTGAGCTGGTGATTCCTCAGGGAGCCCTATAACCCGGTGACAGGTGACGGTCGGCAGCATGTGCCTCAAAGTTTGGCCGTTTCCGCAACCTCCAGCGCCTCGGCTTGGTCAGGAATCAAAGTGTAGCAGTCACTGCGTAGGGTTAAGGCTTCGAGATTTGAGGCTTAGGGGTTCGGGTTCGGGGTAAGTTCAGGGCTCTGGGAATTTTGAGACTCAAAAACATCGTAAAGGAATTGAGGTTTCCGTTGCTTTGGGGTGTAGAATTCAGATTGTAAAGGCTGCTCATGGAGCTCGAATCATAGTAGGGATCCCTCTAAAATCTAAGGTATATCCCCTTAGGTAAGTGGTGGTCTAGGTACTGCCTCAAGTCAAACTTCGGGCGGAACACATGGGGTTCCTGAGAAGCAGGAGCTCCTTTGCAGGACTTAGCAGCAAACAGGCAACCTTCGATGTAGGGTTCTACGTCAGTGCTTAAGAAGTACATTGAATGCGCTACTCCACCAAACAAACATGGGTCTCAGACGAGGGATGAGGGGTTTGGGGATTGGGTAGGGGTTCATGGTCACAGGGCCGTTGCCAGATCCTTCAACAATCTTTAAGCAGTGAGGACAACAGTCGCCGACACCTTAAGCTCCAGAACCAGCAGAATTTGTCAGCCAAAGAAAGTTCGGCATCGACCCTGCAAACCATGAGCTGTAGCGCCTCAGCCCGAGACGCCGAGCCGCAAAATCCCGAGCCCTCAAGCACAAGTCCTTGTTTCTCAAGCTCTCTTACGCACGGCAAGGCATACCGTGGAAGGAACTTGGAGATTTGCAACTTGCCGCTGGGCATGTTTGGTGCTTGCATAATGACCATGTTCAAGGCCCATGGCCACTTCTTAGAGTTTAGGGGAATAGCTCGATTTGCTTGACGGAGGCTCAGTGGTTCAGGAGCGTACTCGGAGTTTTGGAGGTTCAGATCCATCGTCCGCCAGTCAGCCAGTCAGCTAGTCTGTGGCCACAGGGTTCCGTGTACTTTCGACTAAACCTGCGCATTTTGGGCTTGGAGCTGACTACCCACCAGCCCAGCAAGGCCTTGCATTCACGCTTTTGCGTGTCTTGCGACTCGATTGTTTCGTTTTTGCCAGAGCAGGAATGACACGCTCCACGGCTTGGGCGGGCTTCTGATCGAGCCTGCTCCGTGACTCGGCAACCCTTCAACTCTTGTCCATGTGAGGGGCTTACCTGGTTCCAGGGCTGTGGGGCTTCGGGGTGATGTCGGGTTCAGTTGTGGTTGGAGAAATGCTGGGTTATAGATCTGAGTGATGAAGTGGCTCTAACGAGGCACTGAACTTGCACCCACAGAGACTTGAACAGGGGCTCTGCACATCCCTGCCACAACCCCATCGCTAAGGATGCTACTTGTAGTGAGAGATCTGGACGATCGATTCTTTGATGTGGCAGGGAGCATGAGAAGAGCCGGCTTGTCACACTTGTCGGAGATTAAGAGCAACTAGCCACAAGCGGAACTCCTCGAAGGAGACTTATGCTGGGTAGTGCAAACCAAGCGATTGAAGGGAATCACGAAGCAAATGCGAAAGGGAACGCAAGATGCCCCGTCCGGGGTCAGAATGCTCCAAGTTAAACCCGAACGCTATCCTCGGACCTACAGTCCCAAGTGGATCAGAATTTCGCAGTCACGTAAGCCATGCAAACTGCATCCTACAACCTACATTTACATATCCAAACCTGCAACAACGAAACCGTTGCAGACTTTAGGCCCCAAAGCCCAAAACCTCGCTCAGTCCCTTCGTCTTGCCGCGCCTCTTCTGTCGCCGATGTTGCAAGTAAGGTGTGTATCTGTATTTTGCCAAATGCAGTCTTTTCCCAAGCCGTGTTTTCGATAATGAACGCCAAGACCACATTGAGACTCTTTCGGCTGTTTCGATGCGAACATGGATTGGATAGAGTTTGGAAGACGTCGGACGGCTTCAAGGGCAGGGCTCTTAATGCTGGAAGTAAGATGTACATCGGTATATGCAGTGTTTTCCTACGTTACGGGCATGGATGCGTTGCAGCAACGGACGGGGTCTGGCTCGAAGTTACACCCTACATTACAGGAGGGCCTCCTCGACGAAAACCTCGAAAAAACACAAGGTGCTCCGAACCCCCCCTGGAGCGTGGCATAACCTTGGGTCGGAAGGCTAAACCTTGTATCCTATGTCGAACGCCAAACCCGCTGAAGTGGCAGGTCTTACCGCATCCGGGCCTGGTTCGCCCAGTTCCCGGCAGGCCTCCGGATTTGCAACGTTCGTTGACTCTTTGGGACACTTGTGCTGGTGGTGCTCAGGGTATGATTATTCTCGTTTGATGGTCAACTTGCCTGAAGAAGTTCGAGGGTATTCGGATATTCTTCCTGCGATCCAGTGCCCCAGATTCCCCGGGGCTACAATTCTAAAGACGTTGAATCTCGCCGCCACATTGCATGCCAAAGCCCCAATCGCCCGTACAGAGACTCGAAGACAAAGCAGAAACACTCTTCCGAAAATGGAGTGTCGTGAACTAGCTCGTCGGCCGCTACGTCCAGCCTCTAGCCTCTAACACTATAAATACCTAGTATAACTGGAGATCCGATTGTGGCTCATTCCGTGACCTTCGGAAATGACGCTTACTTTCGTGACCTTCACAGGTGGCGGTTGGCAGTCCAACAGCCTACCAAAGTCTATGTCTGAGTGTATCGCAGAACACATCAAGCCCAACTCCGACGAGGTCTTCGAACAGGTCTCAGTTTCTCAGACTTTGGATGAGTGGTACCTGCGAACGAACAAACGCTGGTGGCACACGTCGTCCATCCTTCGAAACAGCGAGAACAAATACAAGACCAGCCTCGCTGCAGGTAGACAAGACTGGTCATTGATAGCCCATGACCACGACTATAATGAACACGTGTACGGCAACATGATAATGATGAGGAGGATGATGATGATGGTGATGATGGTGATGAATGAGATGGCGAGTGCTGAGATCATGTCGATCTAGGTAATTATTGGGAAGGTGGCAGGGATGATGGCTATGATGATGATGTTGTTGTTGATGATGATGTTGTTGATGATGATGTTAATGGTGTTGTTGTTATTGTTGTTGTTGTTGATGATGATGATGATGACCGTGATGATGATGGTAGTGATGATGCTGATGATGGTAATAATACTGTTGATGCTGCTGCTGCTGCTGATGATGATGATGATGATGATTGCTTTGACGATAGAATAGTTTAGAGTGCCCAGCAGCAAACATCCGAGGGTGGTGTTCATCTGAAAAAGACCAAGACGAGTAGTATGGTTTTTCGTTGTATCGATCGCCCCGAGATTCCTCGCAATATGTTACTCTTTCAGATGCACCCTGCGGTCCGTATTTCCTATTCCAGGGTTTTGTTCGAAGCAGCAAAGCTGTAAGTGAGCCAAGTTCATGCCACATCCATTCCTTTATACCCAGATGTCCGAACGAAGCTTTGACTTTGACCCGCCTCGATCCGTGAGATTTGCTGGACCTGCCATCGTCGTTCACCTTTCAGCTTCTGCGCCTTCTCCCTGTAATCAAGACAAGACACTATATTAGTGCAGTCTTACGGGCATAGCCAGGGAACTGGTACCGAAGTCACAGTTACTGTGAGTTTAACGTGCCATCAGGTTAAGGAAGCCAGTTTCCATTCCATGCAGCTGGAAGCGGTTGGAACAGAGCATGCGGCCGGGGTGAACCCAAAAGCCGTAACTTTGTTTCTTGCAAGTTTTAGGTTAAAAGGGCAGTAGCATCGACCAAATCACGCATCTAGAATCGGTTACGGCTAGTGCACTTGTATGGACAGTGTGTCATTCTGGTGGCATCATGTTGTGAGGCAGCCTTCGATACCTGGCCGGCGTGCCCGTGCAGGCCGCGAGGAAGCACCCAAACCCAGACACCACTACAATGATAGTTCTGTGAAGATGAGACCGAGTCCTGTTTGGCAGGTTATGTTCAAACATCTTGCGAAGTTCATGTTCGCGATATGAGCCGTCGTGCCTTGCTACTTATTTTTCGAGTCTGGCTGTAGCCGATGATCCTAGCCTCGATTGGGCATCCTGTCCAACCCCGTTGCCTTCCCTGCGCTCCTCTCTGACCGAAGCTCTGAAAGCTCGCCTTGGACCTCTTCGGCCCCAGGCGCTGTCTCGACATCTGCAAGCCCCGAAACCCTAAACCCTCAGCTGAAGAAACCTCAACTGAATCCTAGACCTCCCTTCTTGAAAGCCTTGAGTCTCGGGTTGGAAGCCCACAGTACGGAGTCCAAGCTCGGGGGGGGGGGGGGGGGGCAATTCCTGCGAAGCCCGAAGCCTAAATCTCATCAGGCTCAAGGCTTAGGACCTTTCGGATTTAGGGTTAAGAGGGTTTTGAGAGGGGAAGATCTAAACGGTCCAAGCGCATCGGAGGTGTTTGCAGCTGTTTTGGCCTCTCTAGGCCTGCCTTTGCAGGCGCCAATTTAAGTTGCAGGGCTTTCCGAAATTTTCAGCACATCGGAAATGCAGGCAGTCTAGATATCGGTCTTTAGGGGTCCGAAAAGACGTTGGTTTAGGATTGCTTGGATGTGGCTTGGAATGCTGGAGTTCAGGGTCTTATGATTGCGCGTAGAACCGTTGAGTGAAGGAGACTTTAGATTCCATTCATCGTGGGATACAACATGTTGTGTTGAGTAGTAAGATTGTTGGCTAAACCTAAAGCTTCCGATTAGGGCCCCGAGTGTTTTGGTTGGAGATCCTACTAGTAGGAACCTTGCAGAGGACTGCCTACCAAATCCAAAAGCACTACAACACTGCGCAGCACAGCCTGACAGACAACTTCGATGTCTAACTCGCAATGCGCCCAAAGTCGGTGTTTGGGATTTGTCCGGTATTACCTGTCACGCTCCGGGCTTGACCTGCAACCGGTACGAACGTCGGATAAACCTATGACTCTGGTACGCTGGTATTTTAAAGTTCTCAAGGCGGTCTTGATGTTAATCACACCGCCGCTGTAACGTATATTTCCGATATAGAACCCTTTTGTTTGCATTCCCTTGCCCTGAAAAGTCCCTGTCGGTAGCGCGGCTTTCAGAGTCCACACAAGTGCTATGCCAGACTTTAACAGGGCTGGCTGCAGGCTGCAGACAGGTGTCTCCTTGTTAATGGGATGGCTTGGTGTTCTGGTACTATCCGGTCCGGAAGCAAACTGGCACTCTCGCCCTTCTTGCAGTACGCCCTTCAACCCGGCCCCAAGCACCAGCGACATCCCGGAGACATCCTACGGGTGCAGCGGAAGGAAGCGAGCCATGGGTGACATGGTTCAGGGTGCACAGGTTTCTTGTACGGAGGTGACAGTCAGTGGTAGTCCTCAGCACAACACTGGTGGCAGGGCAGCTGGGCTGGCAAGCGAGGGCCAGCTGTGGCCAGGGCCCTTGTTGCAGAGGTAGTGTTCTTAACATGCCTCAAGAGCTCCTAAGGGGGGTGATCCTATGGTATGGGTGCTCAGAAGCTTTGGTTTCTGTCTTCCTAGTGTCGGTAAGGCTCTGTACTGTAGGAGGATTCTGTTGCTGAGGCTTGCCGAGGATGTTTTTCGTGGCATGGTTTCTGTCTCTCTTGTTGTACGGCTTGATCCTGGCGCTTTACATTGAAGCCAGTCGAATGGAAGGTTCAGCGAGGGTTCTGAGCGTACGATGGTGTTATCAAACATCGTTGACTTTTGTGGCCAAAAAGTTTTGGTTGATGGAGAAGCTGCTGCCCAAAACTCACTGAAGAAACTTCGTTGAAGCTCATGGGCTTTACATAAGTGGAATGGATTCAATACTCGTCGCAATGCCTGGGTCTAGTTTGACAGCCCGGCTTCTTATACCCTGAACTTGCCCTCAGCTGCCGACCCGCCCTCCCTCCCCCTCCGCCTCCCACCCCACGCTTCCCCCCCTCCACAGGGTTTTCGACTTCGAAACCGCTAGAGCTAACGCTAGACGACCCTACATGCAAGAGCTGCCAGAGTCCGAATTCGGAAGTATAGAGCTGTGCTATAGAGCTGTGCTTGCAACAGAGTGCTTGCTTCGCACCTGGCTTAGAGACTTATCGGGATCCCCCTGAGATCTTCGAAAGGAGGGTCTACGTGCAAACCCAACTTCGCCAATTGGAAACACTCGTATCTCTTCCACAGATGCCTCAACCTTTTCAATCAAAACCCCACCGTAAAATCAGGCTCTATGCATTCAACTTCCCATCGACTATAATCCCTTCCCGCTTTTATTAAACAAACACTGACAATAAAGGCACACTGGGGCGAATCCTCCCGAAATCATCCCTGCCCTTTAAAACCCATTCTGAATAGGGGGGGAGGGTTTCGAGGCTCCAAATACCCTTAGAGCAGAGTAAGAGCAAGGGCAAATAGCGAAAGCAAGAGCAAGAGCAAGAGCAGGAGTTAGAGCAAGAGCAGGAAAATCAGCAAGAGCAGCAGCAAGAGCAAAGCAAAAGCAAGAACGGGAGTAAGAGCAAGAGCAGGAGCAGGCACAAGAGACGCAGCAGAAGCAGGAGCAAAAGCCATTGCGGGAGCGAGAGCCAGAGCAGGAGCAAGAGCGCG